TCTTAAATCTAATTTCCATCATCGCACAGGTGCGAGACATTAAAGCTCCTAAGGCTTTACAAAAGCTGAAATTAAAAAAAATAAAAAAAAGAAAAACGCAATGTTCAAAATTATATTTCAGCCACGTCTCTCCGTGTGTATTGTATTGTATTCACGTCGAATTTCGACCACTTCGTTAAGCGCGTGTACAAACTCATTTGTACCGGTTGCGCCAGCGCGTCCATATTCTCTTGCAAGCTGCGCTGTAAGTGCGTGTTACAACGTAGATTACTGAATGATGAGCGGCGAGTGATAAAAAACTCGCGCTTACGAAATTCGCCTGGCTTAATCCGATTTAGAAACGCGTCCCGAATTAATGTTAATTCGCGCGCTCGGCGCACGTTGTAATTAATTGCGACTTTATGATGCGCCGTTTCCACAGAACGCGAGATACAACCTTCCCCTATTATGGATGCACATCGAGAAGTGTCTTTATCCGTCACTTCAGCGTCCAGAAGAAGATAGGGTTACACGTGTGACGAGGCTGCGCAAGGCTGCGCAACAAGATAGGTGCATCGCACCTGTCGTGTAATGATAAAAAGCCGCACCTTGTAACGGTGCAAAAAGGGCGTCCCTTGCCGGCAAACAAACACGATGTCGGCAATAAAACGTTAAAGCAACCTTTACAGTATAAATAGGGCGAAAGAGCATCTAATGGCTTCTCCATCGTTCAGCAGACTGACGACTCGTAAATATCTCGTATAATCTTATTTGCCACTTTCTCCATAGCCCCCATAAATTGATAACGATTTTGAATGTAGTTTCATGCAGCCTCACAAATAAATCCAACGGCGTCTGTAAGCGCTTAATTATCGAGGCTATTATCGGCGTTAACGTCATCTAGAAAATCCTACGCAGATCCATTAACGCGAGGTAAATAAAAAAAAAAATTATCGAGAAGATAATTTCCTTTTAGAATCTTCCGTGTCCATTATCTCATCATGAGCAAAAGGAGAAATGTGGGTAACAAATGTTACTTTATGTTTAATAACGAAAACCGTCGGATCTGGTATTATTAACGAGTTCTGTTTCGCTTCGCAATCAATATATTGGGTTTCTTTTATCGCCAGTAATATCAACGACATATCGGCGCCACGAGAGTGTCATTATTTCCATGGAGATGGCCACCGGACACACCAACCGTCATCGAATAAATCCAAAATCAATTTCTCTCGGCGAGCCCTAATGTGGGCCTATCGCACAATGTCTCTCCTGTGGGCCACAGGACGAAACAGTCTCGTCATTCTTATATCGTTACCGGTGTTGCCCAAAGGTTTCTCGAAGAGCAGGATGGGCCAAAAGTAATTTTTCATTCTTTATCCCGAAGCAACGCTACGATGTCAAATCATTGCGAAGGCAGCGAGCAAAAATGAAAAAGAAATGAGGAATGGAAACAGAGGATTATGAAAATCAGACTGACTGGAAAAGGAAACTAAAGTGTAGCTTAATACTCACTTTCAAGCTTCAAGCTTTGATGGGAGCGTAATAAAATAGCTTAAAATCTAATTTAAGCAGAATATAATCCTCTCTGTTAACAATTTTCGAGCTAATGATACATCTGTTAAAACTTGTTTTATGCTACGGTTTAACTATATCTTATTTAATTAAAAATAACTTTTACAATAAAATCTGAAACTTTTGCTTTAATATAAAAATCAGTATGTGAAGCGAACAGGACATATCACACAAAGTGCTACAAGATGCTTTCTCTGAAACTATTAAAGGCGGCGAGGAAATCTCTTTTGCAGTTTTTATAATTTAGCGGAGTCTTATAAATGACAAGCAGAGTACCACTGCTGTTTCCTCCGAAAAACATTTTTGAAATGTTATTATATATCATCTTTCTTATATAATGTTAATTTTTCTTGTTATTTTATATATAAAAATATTAAATATAATTACAAAAATATTAATAGTTGACAAGATAATAAAATTCATTTAATAAAATCTCGCTTTTTAAGAGATTTATGAATTATGGTAATTAATGCGTGTTATTCGAGATGCTATTATAATTAATTGCTGAACATATTTGTAAAATTATAGAATCGTATATATATATACGTATTTATACGTATGTATAATTAATTATGGTGGAGATATTGAAAAATAACAATTTCAAATATACAAAAAAAAATTCTTTTACTTATCTTTTTCAGAGATTAATTATCTTATATACGGAAATTATAAAAGTTTAAAATTGTACGCGAACTTTATAATGTATAACTCAAAAATATTTATAGCTCTCCAAATAAAATCATCATTGGATTTTAAAACTTTGATAAGAAAATTGCGACTGTTTAATCCTTCAATATTCGCGTAAAGTATAATACACTTTAATTTTAAAAATTCGTTATAATGACCGAGTAAAATTTTTTTATGTTGATATCCAGAGCAAATTATTTTATCGTTAAAAAGGAAATTTTGCATTTATCTTCAAGAATATATAGAGTATTATTCATTTTTATCTAATTTTAAATCATCAAAGAAAATTATAAAAAAATTTAATGTTGAGATGCATTTCTCCACGTAGAGTTAAACAATCAACTGTAGTTTTACTAGATGCAATAATCTCACATCTAACGCAGATGCACGCAGATATAGCAGGCAGGGTTTCAGCAAAATTATCATTTTTTTCTGCTGAGATATAAAGTATTTATGACACGTGCAAATACAACGTAAGTGCTATCTCAAGGGTACTTCCCTCCTCTCTAGTTTCCATCACTCATCCTCTGCTACTGCTACCGGTTCATGATGCACCGTCCCATTTCGTGTCATATCTCACCCAATCCACATCGGCCGTGCACGATTAAACCCCTATCGTATATCCTTATATACTTTATAACAGCATGTTTGAAAAATGATTAGCCTTTAAATGGAAGTTATGGATAGAACAAATCGAAGTGAAATAAGTAGAGAATAGATTACAATAGCTCTTCGAATAGTATATTTTGTTTAGCATAATTTTTTATTTAGCATAGAATTTATTATACAAAGTAAATATTTTAAACAAGTTTTCGAAATGTTGTTAAAATAAATAGATTGAGTAGATGTGCGATTATGCTTATTACATTTCAAAACACACACACACACACACACACACACACACACACACACACACACACACACACACACACACACACACACATATATATATATCACTTTGTTACAATAATTAAAAATCAGACGTATTATACTTTTTATAAAATACTAATTATGTTCTAATTGCAATTTTATAAATGCAAATCGTGATTTTATCCAAATATAAATTGCATATGTTTAAATTCAAGATTAACGAATTACAATTTCGTAATAATAATTCCAACAATTTTGCAACAGTCGACACTTGCAACGTTCATAATTTATAAATGTACATTAACATAATTAAAAAGTTACTAAATATGCTGTTTATTATACACAAACATGATTATTTTCTCATTAAGCGATATAATCAAAATTGAAATATATGTATCTTTGCCCTGATTATCGATTTAGCGATAAATTTAATTCCTTGATTCAATTCTTTTGCTTTATAAAACAATATATATTATTATATAATATATATTTATAACTTTAATTTTATATTTATAACAATTTTGCAGTTTTTTAGATAAGAAATCATTTTTTGACTACTCTAAAATACTCATAAATCTTTTTTTCATGTAAATAACAAATGTGACATACTTATATATCGCACAATAATAAATAATATTTAAAAAATATATATTTTCTAATTATACCATCTTTTTTAAAAAAATTATTACTTACATACTATAATATTATAATATTATATACATACTATATGTATTATAAAAATATTACTGTCAATAAATACATAAATAATGTAATTGCAATATTATGCGCGTTTTCTCTTGTATAAGTTAAATTTATTTATTATCATGTGATTGAAATTCGGTACTTGTATTTTACTGAGTGTCAATAATATAGGATAGTTTCTCATTTGTAATATAAATATATGTATAATACATCATACACACACACACACACACACACACACACACACACACACACACACACACACACACACACACACACACACACACACACACTA